GCAAACCGTGTCCCGCCTTGCTGGGGAAAGCCGGGGGTTCGCTGCGGGAAGCCCACCACTCGCCCCGCGGCAGCTCGGCAGAGGGCAAGCCCACCCTGTCGCTAGCGGTGGGACAGGCGGCCGCTGCGGCCTCCGCGCCCCGACCGCTGGCGAAGGCTGAGGTAGCTCCTTCCCTGGCATCGCACGCACCGCTCCACGCCGGCAGCGGCTTCGGGAGGCCACGCTCTTCTTCCCCTCCGAAACAAAACGCCAGACTCCCTGGTAATCCCCCTGTTACAGGTGGTCCTGCCGGGAGCTCGGGCGAACAGCGTCTCCGGCGTACTGGGCTCCGTTGTGCTGCCCCCGGGCAGGGGGAAGGTTCGGAAGTCTTCGCTGAAGGGCAAAGTTTCTCCCTGGTTTTTGCCCAGGTGCAGGGGGAGGCTGAGGGCCACGCGCCTCTGTCGCTGGGTGGGCTGCAGTTTAACAACTGCACTTCCTAAGCCGGGTTCGTGTAGCTGGGGTCGGTCAAGAAATGCAAAATTGCACAGGGAGGATCAATATTATTTATTAAACCAGGTGGCATATTTATCAACATTTGACGCATATACAAATACTTCAGACAAGCAGGTGCGATAAGGGGACAGACTAATCCTTTACCGTGGATTTTTCTTACTAAGGAACGAAGCCTTGAACCTATGTCTGATGCGCTCTTTAACATTCAGCAAGCAAATCCTGCACCCAGCATGGTTACCCGCCCCAAGGATGGTGCTTCGCCATCGTCACGGCTCCAGCCAGAAAGCAGTGTAACGGACACCTCGGCCAACCCTCTGAGGGGTGGAAGACGCGAGCTAAGTCCCAGGTCTGTCACTACGGGAAAAGTGCTCTACCCCTTCCCCTATTTTATATTTAAAGGCGTCACCACTCCTGTTACCATCGTCAGGTTTTTAATTTAACTCTACAGAAGGATGAGGTGGAGACCTAAACCCAGGACATGCTCCGAGTACCGGTCCCAGACGGACACCTACCACAGACCACGCGTGGTCCTCAGAGCTTCTCCTTCCTCCGGGCTCTGGCTGCGGCAGCGCCTGCAAGGGCCCGTTTCTGACCCACCCAGTTCTCTCCCCCACCTCCTGGAGCCAGATGCTCAACTTGCCAACGTCCTGGAGGTGTAGGTATGTCCTAAACACTGTAGAGACTGTGAGACTGAGTAGCACCGTAGGTCCTGTCCCAAGTACCTGCTTTAACACTAATCACATGGTAGGGCCTGAAGCAGCAAGGTATAGGAGATAAATTTTGCATGCTCTAATGTGTTGCTGTAGATTTTAAGGTGCTACTTTCTTAGGTAGTTTGAGGGGTGAAGTAATTGCTCGATGCTGATTAAGCAGCAGCATCAACAAATAAAATACCAATAATCTGTAAGCAGCTGTTGAATGGGATCTTTCATCTTGTTAACCTCAAGCACCTCGAGCTAACTTGAAAAATGCATTAATATTTTTCTGGGGCTTTGAGAAGTGTTTACATCTAGGTTTTCTATTTATAGATCCATTACTGAATGTATACTTTGCCCCTAAGCGAGAAGTGCAAAGATGGTAAAAGATAGTCTGTCTTCTCAAGAGGGGCTGGCCTTTCCCCACAGACTGGGTTTGTACCTCATGAGCTTGTTTCATTTTCCCCGAGTTCAACTATCAAAACCCCAGAGAACAGATCTCTCAATTGAGATTTACTGTCTCTGTTTGCATGGCGGCAGGGGAACCACGTTCTGAGATTAAGAGGTCTAAGCTACCTCTCAGGTATATGACACCAGGTATCGAAAGTCTCATGTGTAACACCTCATGGAATTTTGGCATCATCGTAACTATATGGCAATGATGCCACTTTGTTCTCAAGCATTACTTTTCATCTACGGAAGCTGGAATGAACTTTTGTAGTCCTTTCATTGATCTATATACATTTTAATGTTTTAAATTGGACTGCATGAAAAGGGATCTACTTAGTTTGGAAGTGTCTCTATACTGTAAATAAAGAAATAAAGTGAAAAAAACAACCCCCACCCAAAGCAGAATCATGCGCTAGTCTAACTGCTCGCCCCCACCCCTCACCCCAAACACCCCCTGGAAATGCTGCCAAGAAATTACAACTGAATACATAAGCCCTCTGACGATCCCAGCCATCCCCAGCCCTTCCCGGAGCTGTGGAACATGATGTGGCATTTAACTGTCTTTCGGATTTCTCAAGTTAAAGCCGTGCTAATAAAATGCCACTGATCCCCTCCCACATGAAAGTCAAGCTGCATTTTGGATGTAAATGTTCTTATCCCCCTCTTAGCCAAAGAGTAACTTGCACGTAACAGGTACGTAACACGGCAGCTGTTGAAGGACCCAAAAACCAGGCATTGAGGATTCAGCATCCAACATCTCACTGATTTCCATACCAACTACGCTCTGCTTGCCAATAAAACCAGCGGTTCTGAAAAAGTACCTTTCTTGGATCTTCCCATCTTACTCCTGCCACAAAGAGGAGATCTGGAAAGCCAAATGAGGTGTCTGGGTGCAGCTACACCTTTCACACTCAGATTGTGCCCTCGCTGAAGCACTTGGTGTATTTGCTATTGAGAGCGTAAGGTGGTTCGCAGCTCATCTGCCAACAGGGCAGAAGAAGGAAGGAGGTCAGCAGGGTTTGGGAATTGGGGCAGTTTCACACTGCTGGCAGTTACTGGAAATAATACCGTTTGCAAACTGTCTATATAGAAACATTGAATTGGCACTTTGGGGTGCAGTGTTTTGTGGGAGAGTTGAACTAAAATCTGTAACTTCTGTTCTCTGGAAATGCTATCTGTGTTTCATGGAACATTAATACACCTCTGGTTACATCAAGCGCTGAAAACCAGCGACAATCTAGGGCAAAGTTAGCCGTGTAAAAATACGGCATGCAAAGCAGGAAGCTATCTTAAGTACTTAATCTATGGTCTTACAGCATGACCTATATTTTTTCCACTGAACCTTCCGAAAAGGCAAGGGGTTTTGTTTCATGACTAAGTTTATACATTATCTTGGATTAACATCATGGACATTATGTTCCAGTGGTGTATTTTCAAGGATCATTGAACATGCATGGACATTTACAGGTAAATTGAGCAGACACACAAACCCCTCCGGACGCTGATTTTTGGTGAATTTCTGGAAAAGCTCCTGGACATCCATTTCTAAGAAGTGCTAAACCACTGGTACTTTCTGGACAGCGCAGGACCACAGAACCGATGCAATGCTAATCCTGAATTCACACGGTGTGGAAGATGAAGCCCGTACACCTTTTGACTATTTTGCTACCTGCAGTAATTATTGTGCTTTGTATAAAGGGCAAACAACAAGTATTTTAGTATGAGAACTGTTCAAGTAAGTTTTAATAGAGTGCACCAGTGAATCAAGATGACTTGCATCAGATTTTGTTTCAATGAACATCAGATAAAAAAAGAAAAGGGGCTACAGTTCTTTCTTTCCAAACACCACCCTTTTTCTAAGGCAACAATACACGTCCATTTCCGAACATAACTGTTACATAGGAAAGCTACATCACAGTACAGTATGTAAAGTCCATCTCGGTCAAGAAGCCATTAGAGAATGGCACATTTACTACACTTACAGCCTTCTAACTTAGGGTTACAGAGTTTACCACAGCTTTTTTTTTGATTTTTATTTTTTAAAGTGACAATTTCTTAATGAACTTTCTATTCTTCACAAGAGTGTGCAGATGGGGCCCATATGTTGATATTACAGTAATTACGACATTAAATAACATTGCACAACCAACCTCTATGGTTAATTCAGTACAAAATAACAAGTATTAAAATGTACCAGTACTAGTGGTTTTACATAGTTTATAATCATTAATCATGAAGGAAAAAAACGTGGTTTTTTTTTTTTCTTTTCTTTTCTGTAGGCAAGTGCCTAATTACAAAGCTGCACATTACAGGCATAATGATGTGGAATAAATACAAGAAATCTGGTAAAATATTAAACACAAACAGGTTACATGGGAACAAACTGTACAACCACGAAAGCATAAATCAACAATTTATCATTATAAACAAGGTATGTTTAGCTGTAAAATATTATGTGGAATTTCATGTACTCTTTGGGGGCACATGTTCCAAAAGCCAAGCTAATTCCTGAGGTGGTATTATCAACTTACACAATTGGTCAACACTTCAGATTATCTTGTGCTATTAAACAGTCCCAATATTAATGTATTTCCATAAAATGGAATTTATAGTATTCTGAAGGCAGCTAACAAGTGATATTTTACACCATGATATTCAAATGAAATAATTACGGTTCTCCATTTTGGTGCTACATTTATTAACGGGCCATGGGAGTAAGCACTGTAATTTGCAGACAGAACATCACTTACACCTGGTTTCTGTTCCCCCACAGCTCTGAGCTGGCCCAAGGCAGAACAAAGATTTTAAACTGTAAGTGCCAACACTGTAAACATGTTTGTATTTTTTTCAACTAAACACTGTCCAATAACAAGGATAAGAGCCAAAGATAAGCAGGAACAGTCTCGCACAGAACAAAAGCCAATTATTCATCGACTTTTGGTTCAAATCATGAACAATCTTTAATTAAAAATGGTCATGCTACGGTTGTGAAAACTACTTTTGTGCATTTGACTCAGGACAAGTTTTTTAAAAAACGCATGATAGAGGTAAGACTTATAAAAACCACCAAAAATGTAAATGATAGGGAAGAACTTTTCCAACTCAAAGCATCAAACATACATTTCTGTGCAGAAATCTAGACAACTATACAAGATCTGAATTTAAGCAGTCATCTTTTTATTATACAACTCTATGAACATAAAATGAACAGAATGCTCTATATACTTACCTGTACATGTGAACATAACTTTTTTAGCTACAGTTATTTAATATAGGTCATACTGGATTTAACTTTACAATTCTGAATAACTATGTATAACCTTATTGCAATAAGGGCAATTTCTACATGGGGAGTTTCACAGGCCAATCACATTAGGCGTAACCAGTACATTCAAAGTGTAGATCATGTATGAATCTTCCCTGATCCCAAAAAAATGTAGGTTCTCTTTACAGCTTAAGCTCGTTTGCTATCTTGGATGCAATGTTCTTAAATGCGATAGAAGTCCCAGATATTCTCTTGAAACGAACTCCATTGAGCGACAATCGTGGCAGTTTGCAGACTTCCATCTCCCACTGAACAAGGCTATCTTGTCGTGCATCACCGTGAACACAGAAGAGCAAAAACCTCTCTTTTTGTTCGTAATCACAGTTATTAGCATCTAACACTTTCCGAATCTCTCGCATCATATCGTTCGGGTCCATAGAACTAGTGGTCTTCATACTCCATGTGAACCGCAAGGAGCGTGGCTTCGAATCTTTGCTATCCTCCTTCTCTCTGTCTTTTGGCTCCCCAGAAGCACTCCTGGAAGAAGTGACATACAGAACAGTCAAAAATAAAAGCAGTATAACCAAGAGATAGAAGAGAAATACAGTTCTTGAACAGGGGTTTCTAAACTGCGATTGACACACCACTAGTCACACACAAGCTAATTCAAAGAGTTAGATGGATACTGTTGGAACAGTTCTGCACCATCTCCTGCACACATGTGCGCTTTGGCATAGCACTGGGAGCTGCGACCAGCACTGGTGCAGTGGCACACAAGTGTGCAGTGTGCCCCTGGTGCAGTGGCACACAAGCAAAGCAAGTTTGGAAACCCCTGCTCTAAAATGTTCTGATGACATGTGCAATGGTAACTGCAGCAGACACACGTTACTCCATACTGCTCCAAAGAAAGTGGAATCTATGTGAAAGCATGACTGAAGTTCTGCTGATTTCATGGTCTGGAGCATGCCATACACCAACAAAACTGAAGTTGAGGGACACAATCCTGAAGCATAAATCATACTGTAAAAGCAGCAGAGGAAGAAATCCCACCCTGCGATTCACAAGTCTTCAGTTAATTCCCTCCCCTCTTTTCTGCCTTTCCCCCCTTTTGCATTTATTATTTATTTTTGACCTCTCTCTGTGTAAAAAGACCCTATAACAACGGGCTTTATTTTAACTGATGAAGCAGAATTTTGTGCTCCAATTTGGTTCTAAACTGCTGGTTTGTCAACCAGTTGAGTACACAGCCAGCAGCGTTGTCACAGAAAAAACACTAACATGCAGACGTAAAGTATTTTAGCTGATGCAATGACTTGGACAAAATTTCAAGGGAGTACTTTCCAATGAGTGTTCTTACTCTGACGCTTCCTTAATGAATAGATTACTTATTCCATTGTAGAAAGCATTTTGAGAAACAGCACTAATTAAAGTAATTCCACAGCCAACTATTTCTGTTCTTGTCCCAGGTACTTAAGATGCCCAATACCTCCCCATCCATCACTGGGGAAAGGTGCTGTTCTCATTTTGATAGTCTATAAACTGTCGCTATTCAGAGAGGAGTCAAAACAAGTATTTTAATTTAACTTTCAGTGTGATCCCCAGAGAACCACATCGATATTAAGGGATAGAGCATGGCAGGGATAAGATCCCAAACGACTTTTAGCCCAAAACAGACACTGTAGGATGACAAAAAGTAGAGGAAGCTAGAGAATGAAAGCAAGAGCTGAAAGCAACTTCACACTTCATTTCATTTGAACATTTGATTAATCTCTTTTCCCTTTCCACATCATGAATTCGACAGCTAATAGACTTTGAATTGAAAAGGGCTAATGTAGATAAAATGCATTGTGTATTATACAATGTATCCTGTTAAGAATGTGCTGCTTTTTTTTTTTAAATAAAGGCTTTCTGTTTTGAAAACTAAGTCGATACTTTCCGTAAGTGACCAGTTTAGAATGCAAACTACAATGCCTGTTCATTAGAGAGCATAAAAATAAAAAATTATGCACTGTGCTAAGCACACCAAATATGCAGAACCAAATGCTGAAACATGGCAAAAGAGCAGATATACTGGAGAATGAGCATATGAAGGAATGCTTTATTACTAACAAAGCATCTATAGATCTGTGTACAGTGGTTGCCATACAAATTCAGTATTTAGCAGTCACCACCCTTTTTGTCTGAATGTCACTTTATTTCTCAGTGCAAAGTGACATTCATTTCTCAGGGACTATAAGGTGTTTACTTCTGGCAAACAGCAGCTTTAGTAATGAACACAGTATGTAGCTATAGTAATAATTTAATATATACATATATACACACAGACACACACAAAGTATACTACATTTTCCACTGAAACCAAAAGTAAACACCATTAAATATTTGTAAGCCAAAACATGATTTTAAGTGCCTAAATGACTGGTTAACTCCTACAGGGGGCTTTATTATTCAAAGGAATATGCTTAAATAAAGTTTTATATTAAATACTTCGCAAGAAAGCAAAAATGAGGAATAAAGGACCTCACCAAAACCCCCTCCCCCCAAATAGAAAGCATTTTTGAAATGCAGATTACTTAAGCACTATTCTGTTTTACATCCTGATTAAAAATCTTTAAGAAATCACTTAAACCTTGATGCGAAAGACCTAGGAGCGAAGTATTAATAGTGGCTCCTCACCTTGAGGTGTCAGTTCTGCCACTGGCTTCGCCTTCACTTGGATCCCTCAAAACAAAGTTAAGGTTGAGATTCAATGATAAAGGTGAAAAATAAAAGTTAAGAAAACCTACATCTAGAACAACGTTAAATAGCTACTGAACAAAAAAAATAATAAATAAAAAAATCAGTATAATAATGTCAAGCCTAATACTGTTTAATAGTATTTTTTCACAGCTGTAATTTTAGTTTCCCTTTATGGTACCTTAACTTCTTTCAGCTCTGACATGTAATTGTTTAATTTTTTTAAAACTGATGGTAAAATTAACACTTTGTTCTCAACCTACTGCAGACAGAGCAATGGCCACATGTAATTCCAGCAAGCACAGAGGAGCAGTTGATCAACGTGGTCCAGGAAGGCTCCGCTCTGCACCCTTCTGGGCCAGGCCTTTAGACCTCAGTCCTGAAACCACTTAGGTACATGCCCATGCTTAAGCACACTCAAGTAATTAAAGACAGGACGTGCCTAAGAGTTTCTGAGACCAAATGTTTGGAGCCCAGTTCAGAAAGGTTACTTCAACGTCTGCTTAACTTTAAGCAAATCAGCTGTTACATTGACTTCGGTAAGATTACCGGTGAGCTTGAGCTTAAACATATCTTCTTATCTTGTTGAATTAGAGGTGTGCTTTACCAAGGAACAGTTTTATATTATGCCTTTTTAGTCTGAAGCAGCTTGAAAAATATCCATAGATTGTATAAGCCACTTACGTGCATTCCTAGTGCTGCTGTACAAACATTTTAGCACCAAATTTCAATTAGCTAATTAATACCTTCAAAACACAAATACTTTAGTAACTAACATCAGAGAAGTATCATTTGACATAAACCATTGATATGAAATACTTCCAATACCCTATTCATTAAGCATAGTCGTTATGCATTTATTTTATATACTTACCAGAAAAGGCATTTACCTTTGCCAAAAGATAGTAAAAAAAAGTCTTTCATGACACTTTCTAATCAAAGTATTCTTTAAACCATTATTTCCTGAACAGTACAGAAGTTAAAAGGCATGCAGTTATGTGATCCAACTAAAAGCACAGCAACCCCCCCACCCCCCCAAATCTCCACCCATGTAAACCCAGGCACTAGAAGTCTTAAACAACCCAAAGTTAAAAAAAAACAAAAAACCCCAAAACCCAAACCAAAACAACACAACAAAAACCCCCCAAACGCCAACAAAAAAGCCCCACCAGCAACAAAATAAACAAAAACCATACAAGGCCTTCATTATAGGAAAATGTATTTCTAGCAGTATAAAACACAATAGGAAATTGTATAAAAGTGTTCTATAGAAAAGATCATTCTAAAATACATAAATTTATAATATCTTAATTCTAAATGCAAAGTTTACAATATTATTTTAATATTGTAGTTTAACATAATGGCAATATTAATTCTTTGATCTGACTTCAAAAAAATTCAAGATACCATTCCTTGAAATAATGAGCTATAATGCAAAAAAACAGCCTGTGCTCTTGAAATTGGTTAGTTACTTAGCAGAAAATAGCTTTCTTCCCATTTGGAAATCTACACTGAAAACACAGTTGACCAACTTCACTGTTAACTTTTTTTTTTCTTCTTTTTAGAAAACAGAGAACAAACTCTCTCCCCCCAACTATGTAAGTGCTGGAGATACCAATAATGGAGGATCATAGTCCTGTATCTTCAGGTTTCTGAAAAAAGAAAATCATTCATATACTTTTTTTTTTTTTTTAGGTCATCATAGGAGGTATTACTTAGACACACACTGATGCACTATCAGCTCACCAGGTTAAATCAATTTTATGAGGAACATCACTGCATTTCTAGTTTTCTCTCTTCTTTTCCCTTGTAATATCACCTTACACAATTAATATTTTACTTACAGATTTGCAACTACTAGCTTAACCTAGCTTTGAATTTATCTTTTTTTTTTTTTTTTAAAACACATAAATGATAGAATCCAGTACATAACAGCATGATTCTGCAAAGAAAATAGAGGTTTCCAAGATATAATTCTGTTGTAAAACTGACAATAATGCAGTATGGACACATCCATAAGTAGGCTTAAGAGTTATACGTATATCACCATTAGAAAGAGGCAAACTGAAAATTAAGTCCCCTTTTGGGAAAACTATTGTGACTGCTAAGTCAACAGTCACTTGATATTAAAGAGTGTATTTGAAAAATCTTTCCCAGCACCTCTCCTCACAGTATTGTTACTGTTAGCATCATCACAGGAGTGAACACAGCTCCAGGATGTGTGGGTTTTCTTCTTTCAGAATCCTGAACTTATGTTTGAAGAATCTGGTAACATGATATGCGAGGCTGCAGGATACTGAAATATTAGTATTTCCAGACATCCAGACTAATGCCCACTTCTAAGCTTCTCATTTATTCACAAATTTTAGAATTCCCTGAAATAATTTGTTAATACCTATTCCCTCTAAGCACAGCAATAAAATAATTGTAAATCTAGCCCTTGCAACAAACTGCACCCAGTTAAAAAAAGTAAAATATTGTTAACGTTAAATAATGACTCATTTTTAAGTCACTGCTTTCAGTATTTAAAATCAAATGAACTTAACTTAATTGTAGTATCTTTGTAATTTAGCTGTAAAACCAGCAAAAAACCCTTTTGAGTAGTGTTCTCTTGCTCCTTTAAGATAAAGAAGCAGAATAGCCGGTGAAACATAATGGTTACAATATACACAGAGAAGTAAAACAAGGCAGGCTCTGGAAGGAACACACAAAACAAGCAGCATTCTAACTAGATTTACATTTACTGGAAATTCTCAATGACTTTGCAATTATGGCCCTAGTTATAGGCTGGGCTGCTTTTTTTTTTTCTCTTAAAAATCGAGGTACTAACCTGCGAACAAACTTGGAAGTTATCTTGCTTATTATACCAGTTGATGTCCCTCTTCTAGCATGTGCAAAAGCACCGGTTTCATGTGATGGTGAGGCGGGCGGTCCATTGTAAGTGGCATTACGCCGCTCCCTTAGCTGCTCACCATGGAAAGTGCTTCGACTTGAACTCCCCCGAGGAAAGCGGGTTCGGTCTGGAGTGGTAGTGCTAATACTATGAGCAGACGGGGAAGCAGCAGGCACTCTTTGAGTTGCACTGCTGGGAAAACAGAAGCATAAATAAAGAGAAAGACTATGCTAGAAACCCTCCTACACGACAACCATTTTTCAAAGATAGGAAAAAAACCCCGCTCTTGATTTTTTTTTTTTTTTTTTAAAACCTGAATCTGCTACTGATTTGCTTCTATGATTCTTACTTAGAAATAATCAAGAGAGATTTTCATTGTAAAATCAAATTATCTCAAGTATTAAGAGCAGTTGAAAAAGTATACACAGATAACAGGACAAAGGAAAAAGGTAGAAAAGTCTGTAGTAAGATCTGAAAGTGTTCCCAGCCCTCTTCCGGAAAAATATGTTCATCAAAACCTTTAACACACAAGCACTCCAAAAACTTAACAGATACTTCTTAAGTAATTATCTGGCACAAATAAATGTATAAAGCTATTTGGGCATTTAATAGCAAGAGCAACTATACTATGGTGCTTTTCGACAGAAATGAGCCTAGCAATCTACAAAATCAAGAGGTTAACATTTCAGTATTTCATTTGAATTCATGGTGGCCAGTGTTGAACAGTCCTGTCTAAATTAGTTAAATTTTTAACTACTTAAGTTTTCCAGAAGCTTCCAGAGGGAGGCAGTCAAGGAACTTCTTTAACTGTATGCAAACATGTGTGATGAACAAAATCGGGCTTCAATCATCTGTAATACCCACACTACTTGAGTAAGCTACTGTTTTGAAACAGAATGCAACGTGACAGTTTTGAATAGCTTACAAACATATTGAAGTATATCGTGAACTGAACAACATTTTTAAAGTGCACAGCATTAAAGAAATAATAATCAATTTGTTACCTTGGTCGGTAAGCTTCAGTGCCATCTTTGATGGTTGGCAGTGTAACTTTTATAGGATGACCAGAGGCAGACATAGACTTTTGATGTCGAGGCCGTGTTGATACAGCAGAAGCTACTGCAGAGCCTGCAGAAGATGTGCTACTCGCAGACATTTCTGTTAGGCTTTTACCACGACAGCAAGGCAGGAGAGACACAAATGAAAAGGGAGAAGAGAGGTTAGTGTAAAAACCCACAGAAAACAGGTAAAATAACAACTAATTTTTTCTTTTAGAACATAGGAAGTGCTGTTTAAATAACCAGAAGACTGAGTGACTGGGCTGCCTTAGTCAGCTAAAGTAAAGGATACAGAATTCTGAGAAAATTATGTTCATCCACAAATCAAATCACCATATGTGAAATTAGGCCTTTTCATTCCTCCCAAGATTAAAGCTTACACACACATTATTCAAACTAGTGAAGAAAGACTACAAAGAATACATGGAAATAGTAAAAAATACTGAAAAAGAAATTCGCAAAAGACAAATAGATTGATTAAATAGAATCTCCTTTTGTGAAGGGAATGCCCTTATTTTCAGTTAAAACTCAAACACCTAAGATTTGAAACATTTGGAACTGCTGTCATATTATCACTTGGAAGTGACTGTGTTTTTAAAGCACCTCCTCTGGACTATCCCAGCCACTGCTAGGCTGAGCCAACCCTTTCAAAATATAGTTCCTTCTACTGGTACTTTTATTTCTGCTTTGCCTAAGTGGTGAGGAAGAAAATGAAAGCAGCGGCAAAACAATTGTGTTATTAATTTTTAAAACAAAAGTCAAATGACTTAAGCCAAACTACAGCTTTGCCTCTACAAGCATAAACAAAATTGCGTTAATAATGTATTAGCAACAACAGTCCCAAAGCTAAATAATATTTGTAGCAAAGAGGTAAAAATTTTGGATGAATAATCCAATGACACAAGATGTTCAGCTACACCAAATCCAAATTCAGCTGTAACACAATGTATTGTAGGAAAGGAAAATATACAACTCAAAAGAAAATTGTTCTCCTTCATTTTTCAGAACACACTCAAAGAGCTGAGCATATTCATTGCACTCATGAAAGGAACAGGGATTAAGAATTGTCTGTCTCTTCAATACTGTAGAAAAAAATTTAAATATAAACTGTAAAATGAAAAACTTTGAAATAAAATATAATTCTCATTATAGTGGTCTTGCTATTAAATCTATTAAAATAAAAACTTTATCAATCCTTGCGAGACCAGAAAATTATTTTAGTATATATATTTTAACCCTAAATCTAAAAAATGTATGTTATCCTCTTTCTTTTTAAGAAAGGACTGTTACAAACTTTGTTCAAATATTTTAAACTATACACAAAAATTTGGAAAGACACTTTTGAAAGCACCCATCTAATAATTTGAAATTACCTCCTTAAAGCACTTTAAATAGCTGTACTTTACATGTTCCATAGCTCATCATTTTAGTATATATCAACAGCTCTATACTTTTCCTATTTCCAAAATTAAATGCATCATTAAAAAATTCAAACACTAAGACAGAAAACAAAACCAAACTAGTTTTCTAGATTATGTTATTTCATGCTAGGGATTTTTTGGTTCATTTTACTGTAACTGTTTTATTTAAATAGCTTTAAAAAAAAAAAAAAAAAATCAGAATAAGATCTATTACTTTAAACTAAAAAAAAAATAGTTTTTATCACTCTCCATTAAAGCCAATGTTTTATTTTTCAGTCAGGTACAGGGGTTAACACCAAGGATGAACAGAGAACATATTTTAAAAACCAGTAATTGTGGCAGTGTTAAATACAATAGTATTTAACAAAATATACTAAACTGAGTGTAATTATCATCCCACATACAGATACAAATTGGTTACCATCACTACTAAAATATTATTTAGGCCAAGAAATGATATCAAAAAGGATCGTCAAGTCTTAACAATTTCAACTTTTTGAGTGATTACCAGAAGAAATGAAAAAGGATCACTGTTAGGGTGATCCATCTGATGGTCTCCAACAGACTTGCCTACTTAGTTGTGAGCATAGTTACTTTACTCTGTGTTGGAAGACAACCCCTGGTAATAAATGTGATTCCATAAAAAAAAAAAAGAGGCAAAGGCAGATCTACACGTTTAGTTATAAACTGCAATAGAAACCTAGAAACTGTGGTGGAAGATGAGATGAAAACACACAGTTGGACTTTACATATTTCACACCATGCTTCATAATGGTATTGATTAATTGCATAACCTGCTTCTTTTCTATGCCTCAGTTTTTGTACCCAAATTTATAAGCAAGAAAAGTTGAAGAATACCTGTTGTCCTTCCCATTCTGTATTGCAGAATAGCGATCTGAAGAACGTTCACAAACGTAAGTATTCCTCCTTGTCATTCCACTACCAGAAAATACATTATTCTAGAATAAAATTAGGACTAAAATTAAATTAAATACTTTCTTCTACTGTATGTTATGTTGTACAAAAATGTAAGCATTGGAAGCAAATCAAAATAGAGTTTCAGCCATTTATGTATATTCTTAATGTCTTCAAATGTACTAAATTAATCTGTTGACACAAATCATTTATATCATCAGCTATTTTTTCCAATAGCTCATTCACCATCTTATTACTGTACCTTTGAGAGTATGCTAAAAGAAAACGCAGAGAAATTTAATTTTGCTGACACTTGCTTTACTAAGTAGTATTATCCAATTTCCACATACTATGTTACTGAATTATTTGTCTCTAGGATCAAAGGAACAAACTAGAATTGCAGAGAACACATCTATCTGGCTGGCTGACAGGCTTCCCTGTGCAGATTAAGTTGCCAACTAGAGTTCTTTGTTGCCCCCTGTCAAAAGAGTTTTCAAGAAAAAAATGAAAATATTATCTATGTGTGTCAGTCGACCCAGAAATTATGATACAGATAACATGGCAAAAAGGTCTTGTAGCAACAAATACTGACAGGACTTTCCTTCTGTTACTAATTTCAGTTTGCACACACTTCATAAAATACCTACATTCTCCTCCTCGCCCTGCCATGCACAGATTAGCTGCTTAAGACTTACTTTCAGTATATGACATACAATTCTCGGGTTTTAATACAGTACATACTGAATTTGGGGTGGGAGAGTTTTGCAAAGTGCTAACATTCCATACTGATGCATGCAAAAGATTTCAAATATACTAAACTTGGGTACTGCAGGACATCATGAACTCTGCAAGATTTACTCTGTGTTTAGTTCTCCCTCATCTACAGTTTTTCAGCATTAGTATCACCCCACAGAGACTACTGAATAAACTGCTTCAAAGCCAACTCGTAAGGGAGATTAACAACTGGAGTAACTGTTTCTGAAATTAAACTCTCCTAAGTTAGACTAATATGATGATGGTGATAAATATGTTTTTAAGAAATCCTGCCTTCCCCAACATCGTATCACCCTCAAAGTTACATAAAAGTACTTTAACACTACCCACATTAGCTTTGTTCATTTTAAATGTTTGAGTTTTTTAAAACAAATTCATTTTTTTTGTGTAAGCTGCTCAACCTTAACTACTGCTGCAGTATCAGACACCACTATTCCTTAATCATGCCCATCACAAAGTCCCCAAAATAGTAACAGAGCTAAAAATGTACAAATACTGAAGTTGCCATTAGCAAGTAAATAAATTTCTCATTTTTCATAGCAAAGATACTCCATTTAATCAGTTCTCACAAAGCAGAGAAATGCTCTTGACATATCAGCTTGTACCATACATGACTGTAATCAGCTTTGGGGCAATATAGTTTTGGGAAAGCTCAGATATGAAATCTAATCTTAGAAGACTCAAAGTTCCTGCATGCAATCCACACAGCCATAATTTCATAGACTCTTTGTGGGGGGGAAGAAACTCTACGTAAAATCTGAAAAAAAATAAAAATAAAAAAATGTTTAAAGCATCTGTGGATGTATTGCAGACACAGCCTGCAGAATATTAAGAGTTAAATGAACTTCAGCATTTATTTTGTTTAAAGAGAATACTAGCAGAAATGCATATCATCATCCTGGAATATCCAAGCACATAGAATCCCAAAGGACAATGAGAATTCTGCTGCCCACCTACTGTACTAAAAGATGGCCAGAATTTTTGCATTTAATACAGCATGTCCCTGAAATAGCAAAAAGCGTACTTGAATCTTAAAATTATGATTCATGCATATTTCTTTTTTTTTTTTCTTCACATTAACTCTTGCTCCTAAGTAGCTGTTTAAACACTATGCAATATTTTTTCTTTGTGTATCCTAAACACCAATAGTACTGCACATGGAACTTCTACAAGGCAAAACAGATGCTTTCACATTAGGAGGGACAGACTCTCTTATTTGGAACAAAGATGTCTGAGGCAGTAATATGATAGTGGTTTACAAAGCTACGAATGATATCATAACAGAAGAGCTAGCAAATTAATAATTTCTTAATACAAGAACCAGGTTGTAATTCATAACATCAACAGGTGCACACACCAGGGAACAAGTGGGTTGTTCTCCCTCACCTCACCCCATTTCTGAAGTCCAAAACGAAGTGGTTTCAGAAAGCTAAACAGACAAATTTACAGAGGAAAAAGTTCATGAGGGATATTACGTGGGATTATTCAGGTGAAATCTCTCATTGAGGAAGTCCCTTGACTTCCTTGTAGATACACAAGCGTTAGAAACCAGAAAAAGAGCACTCTGTATTGGCTCTGTTATTATGTTCTTTCCCTAAATATCCACTATTTGTCTTGACAGATCTTCAGTTTGCTCAAGTGCAGACGTTCTCGTGCTTACTGTTATATTAGTGTTAGAAAAAGTAAAGTTGTGGGGGAAGGGAAAGGTTTATTTTAAAAGACATCCACTGTAGTCTATTTCTGTCTGCCAGCAAAAGTTACCAGAAATAGACTTAGTGGCTTATTCAGTAACCATTATGTCTATAGTAACCTTATACTGCAGATTTTGTTTAAATAGGGAAAAATAAATATAACAAGCCAAAAGCACACACACTCACACTGGGAACTGTAGTTGATTTCTTTCTTTCTGGACCCACAAGTGGACTTGCAGCCATCTCTCCTTTGGATCCCACTGTAGTGCTGCTAAGTTTGCGTGAGACATCCTTGTCCCAGTCTTCTTTCTGTTCACTTTCCACACTATTTGCCTGAGCCCTTTTCGTGTATGACACAGCAGGAGGAATTGAGGGACCAACTGCCAAATAAAACCAGTATTAATAAATATCTAAAAATAATCACTGCATTTTTCTTGGCCAAAATAGTCTAAATATAATTCCCGAGGCCAAAAAAAGCATTTGAACAACTATGACTACAAACTCAGCACATATACCAACCTATTAAATTGAGCTTTGACAGGCTATATTCTTTTTACCCACTTTGTCTTCATTACCAATTTGCAGTTCAGAATTAGTTCCCATTTCACATCAATAAGTAAAACATAGAATAGTGTTTTAATTCTCATTTTAAACCCACGCAATTTGTGCAATATTATTAAAAAAGGAATTAGAGGATACTTTTCAAATTGGGTTTTTTTGGTACTTTTTGCCTCGTATCTTTTCCTCTGAACACTATGAAAAATCCTGTTCCCCTGAAAACCCTAAAACTACTTTGTTTAAAAGCATGTTTATATTTGGAAAAATTACAATTCTTTCCCCCTCATCATTCTTTAAAATGCTTTGGGGCAAAACCTCCATCAGTAGAATTTTACATTCCCTTGAAATAAAATCACATCAGCTGATGATCTTCACAATATTGGTTACTTTTTTTGAACACCACCATCACCACACTAACACAGAGTAAAATAGTAAAAAAAAAAATGGGGAAAAAAATTAGAAATAACAATGTAAATTAGGCAAAGCGCCAAATATTTTACAAATATTTCTAGTAATTTAATAGTTCTCCAAGGGAAAAAAAAAAAAAAAATCACCTTTCATTTAATGTTTTAAATATGCATTCCTTTTTGATGTAATTACTTTCACCTGAAAATGTTTCCTGAATACTTGGTAAAATTGTTGTCTCTTGGAAACAAACAATTTGGCCCCAACTCCAAATGTAGTGATAAATGTCACAGTTTGCTGCCTTTGAGTTTATCCAGACCAATATTTTGCCATTACGTCCTAAACAGGAAACATCCTCAAGCTCTTCTTTAGTGAGTCAACCAAGTAACAAGTCCAAAAAATTAAATCAGTAAATTACATTGACCCAGATTTACCATAGAAGCGTTCATACAAATAAAAGCATCACAGCGGAGCACAATGAGATACACAACAAATGCACAGAGTGGTGGACCTGCCAGGTTCGCAAGACACTGCACATTCAGACTTAAATTGTGTATGTTACTTTACTTGTTGGAATGTCATCCCCACCATGATCACTGAACCGCCGCTGTTTCTGATTTGTTGATATACTCCGCTGGACCTTCAGGTGAGCAGGAGACTGCACAGAACTGTTGTTGAGGTCGCTGCTAGGACGAGACCTTTGACCCAAGTTGCTGCTGGACAAGGACTCACCTCCTTCAAACTACAAGAAAAACAGTTTTTCAAAGCATAAACAAAATTCAATATTATTGGTACTTTTATGGCATAAATAAAGTGAAGAGTTCCAATCACAGGCATTTATTTTTAAATTTAAAATTGTATCCAGAGTTTAATTTTCTTCAAGATTAATTTTATCACTTAATCTGTGTTTAATGTGCTTTAAAAATACACAGCTAAAGCTAAGAAGTTAATGAATGCTCAAAATAAAATTAGAAGAATCTTGACAGTAACAAAAACTGTGCTATCTTAAAACCAAAGCCAAAGAATGGCTTCCCTGGCCTTTTTTTTTTTTTTTTTTTTTTTAAGCTTAAAGAGCTTTTTTAGCTTCAGAACAATTTCAAAATGCATCAGATTGAGTCAGAAGGGATAAAAAAACCCCAAGTACTACTGATTCAAGGATTCTTTATTGCCTTCAACACATCTTTATAAGGTATGTAACTCCGCCACTGGTTTGTTGGTATCTAAGAAGCCTAAGTTGTAAGTAAGAGCAGTAGAAAAGACAAATACCCTCTTCCAAGCAGTTTGAATCAAAATCATTTTAGACAGATTCCCTCCATGCTCTGCCATCACAAGGGAACACTGGTTCAGAGATGTTGTGTGAAAATGCACTTAAAGATGCATATATCAGATCTACACTATCTTGGAAAGGAAGGAAGGCCAATGAAGCAGCAGGGAAAAAAAACCACAAAGCCCTCCTTCAAAAAGCAAGCCTTGGTCTCAGCTTGATTTCTCAAAAATCCCTGTGGTCCCAAAAGATCTACAGATCCCTCTAGTTACAAAACAGTCAAAAGATTTTCTATCACAAATTTATTAATGACTATGATGCAATTATTTATTAAATAATAAAATATACTATAATATAGTATATGAGTGAGAAAGCATGAGTACATTTCTGAGAAATAAAGGACGTCACATCTTAGTAGTTAGAAGAATAATTGCTCTAGTCAAATTAACTATTTAAGATTTTAACTGTAAACACAACAGGAAGAAGACTCAGCACTTAGAAGTCATGCCACTTCAGATTAACAGCAAGCTTTTTTAAAAAGCAATTAAACATATTTACAAGCAAATGTGAAGATACTACATTCAATCTATTTCTTCATATGGGAACTAACAAGATATGCAAGAAGATATGAAAAGGGAAAGACATTAATAAGTTATCTATCACAATATTTTTTAAGAGATGTTACAAAATAGTTCATAAGAACATCCACAGCCAGACTATTCAACCCAGCCAGATATAAAGGCCAAAAGAGAAGATGTAAGTTAGGTAGCACTTACTTCAGGTGGTTTTCTACCTAGAAGCAGATAAGTAGCCATGACTTCATCGTACTTTTGGTTTACTAAAGACTCATGAATTTCTTCTCTTGAGAAGCCCATTGTGACCATAATGTCTAGAAGTAAAAAAAGCTAGATACATTAGCAGAATAAGTGCTTGGGTTTACTGACAACTTAAGAACAATGATAACAGAAAAAAATCCTTATAATTTAACAGATAACTAGGATTCAACTCAACCAGCATCATCTTTGCTGTGCAAAATCAAAAAGGCTATAACTCCCCTCTTTCATTGTTATTTTCTTCTTGAAAACTCTCAGCTATGTTATTCAACATAGCTCAACATTATTCAACATTAAATGTTACTCAACAACCAAATAAAACACTGGCAAATAGAAAGCATGAATAGCTACAGGGCCAACAGAGTATCTTTCTCCAACCATGGTGGATAAAAATCATTGTCCTCAAAAAAAAGAAAGTTTCCTTCTGCTTGTTGAATTCTGTAATCTTGTCTTTTGCTGTGCTTGTAGAGATTCACATCAGCTCAGTGAAGTCACAGCAGTAGTTCTAAGGAGGACATTGTAATGAAATTTCTCATTTAAATAAAAAGAAAACATTTTACTTGTATGATGAGATTGTATCTCAAATTTGGTAAAAGAGTTTAGTTTGACTTACAAGATAAAATTGCCTATGTGCATCAGATGCAACATCCTTGTAGAAGTCTTACCTATTCTCTTGGTGTCATTGAAATCTGGTTCAGGCTCAGTATATGGCTTTAGTTCTTCTTCTTCATGGCCAACATTCATCCACCGATCCTTCATAATTTGCTAAGAAAAGAAATGAGCCTTAGGTCAACATGCCATTTACCATACCTGATTAAATCTGTGCTAGCTGGGCTGGGGAAAAACAACTTAAAATTCATAATAATCTGAATGCTGCTCTTTCCCTAACACATCTTCCCCACGCATCTTACAGTTTCTTCTTTTATCTTTCATATCCTTTCGTTTCCATTAGTTCATCCCCCCCTATTATCTACCCTTTACAATACAACCCCCCCAACACCAAAAATATGACAAAAACTGCTGAAAGAAAGAAACTGCAGTTTCAACACACAAAAATCTTTCATTTTGTATCCTTCACTTCCACCGTCTCTTAATCACATCTTGCCAAGTGCCTGACACTCATGCCCTAAACTTGGTTAAGATCTCTAGATGTTATTACAATACCAACTCCATCACAATAAATAACCCCTTCAAATAACAGCAAAGGAAGCGTTTAGAAACTAAGGAATATTTCAGGAACATGCCGATGCTTCCTACAGTCATTTGTTTCAAGACTGTGATGCCAACTGGTCATTTTTTCCTATGGATCTTCTCACTGCACTTGACCTAAATATGTTCACAGTTTGGCTGGAGGGAGAAATGCCTCTTAACTCTCTCTATGCCATGCAGATATTTACTGTAAAAATTTCTCCTGCATTCTTTGGAAAATTTCCTTCTGCTGCAGCCTGGATCTTTTATATGCCTGCAAGATTGATCAGCTGGAATCCCTAACCACCACCACAATTTCTCCCTAAGGACATATTCATCTTTTTTAAAACAGCTAAAAACATTTTCCTTCCTACAGCAACAGGCACACATGACTCTTTACGGACAGATGCTAATATCACTCACTAGATTGACAGAAGAGTGAAACAAGTGCCAGCAAGTCAAGTTTCCCACAGCCTCCAAATATGCCTTGAAAACACCAAATGAAGTTATTTCTCACAAAGAGCAAGAGACTCAATTTTCCATTGATATAACCAAATTCTTCGTATGTAGTACTGCTGTCAAATTACAGACCCAAGTAGCTGTATCCTTACAAGAACAATACAGAACTTTGTACTGGTACAACTTTGGCCAGATAACATTTTGCTGACAATGAGACTTAAAGATTTGTTCCAAGTTCTGCCACAGAATTGATTTTTTAGCTTTTGAGGGGGGATAAAGGAGAAGGGATTGTGAACACGTATTGCTATACTGCATTTCTGGCACACAAAGCATGAGTCTATTTGAAAATAGACTTTTGTTATGTATTTGTAGCCTTTCAATAACATGATAGGCTCCCCAAAGAATACTATACAGTATCTACAATTACAATTTTTTAAAGATACTGTTAATTAAATCTAAAGTTTAAGCATGATGAGGTGTTTGGATGACAGGAACCACAGTGCTCAAATCCTACCTCCCTTTCTTGATTCTTCTTGAATTAACAGGCAAACCCAACAATTCCCACTTACAGTTTTTCATGTCTCTTCAGTAGGTGGATCTATAGTTCAACGTAATCTGCTCTAGGTTTCCATCTGTTAAATATCTAAACTTTTGCTAGCTTCATTTAAATACATGCTCTCATAGGCGTACTGAGTTATTGTACAACTCTTAAAACACGCTCTTACAATCAAGCATTTTGAAGTGACACAAATGATCCAATTCCAGGACCAATATTACATCTGTGTAAGTTCAGCTGGGCTTCCAGTCAGCTGATTAAAGAGCAGCAGCCTTGATCAGGGTATTTAAACATCTGACCCAAATGGTATTTCTTAAAGATAACCCAAACTGAATTTCAACAAACTAGGTATTATTGATGAGGTGTCCCTCAATTTTCAGGAAAACTATCTAATAAAAATTTGGCCTGGATCAAGACCTGTCTGTCTCAAAATTATTTGCTTTATTACTCTTTGTAAGCATAAACCTGCTCTGTGGGAATCTCAGTGTTGCTTTGCAAAGAATTGAAGACTGGGGGGTGGGGAGAAAGACTTTGCTGAAATCCTAATGGTTAAGAGAGATCCACATATTTCCTGACAATGCATTTTTCCCATCTCTTCCTGCAAAGATTTACTATTTTACAACAACATTCTCTTGCTTCTAAAATATTTTCTCTCTGTTGCAACCGTGAAAAAGTCTAGATGAGCCATTTTAATAAAAATTTGCCTGGTCCTTACCAGAGGAAAAGTGCTAAGCCTAACCCATACAGTGCTGATCCTGTGTCAGTCTCAGCTTTGATGCTAATGTCACTGACAAACATCCTATTGGATTGTCTGGGAAAAACATGCATGGGAACTGAGCGGATATATGGCTGGGACTGAGCAAATAATTAAAAGACAAAGCACAAACAAAAATCCTCCCCACCTAAGATGACATTGTCTTTCCACTTTTAGAAACTTCTAATAAATATATACTTTCATTCTAAATATGTATTTTTAGAGGTACTCAGATGGAAGAAATAGTAATTTCTTTTCAAACCATGTACCATAGCTTTCTAATCTGACAAACATGTGATTTCAGGAACATTAAAAAAAAATTTGTGATGTGTCTCTCCCTCAGATTAGCATACTGATCAATGCCCATTATCACCAGTATTTTCATACTGGCACAAAACCCCCCCCCCCCCCATCACACATAACATTTACTCGCTCTCTTCCATACAATCTGACAACTATGCTGTTCCAGCGAGGCTGTTATCCAACACCTCTCTCCAGGCACAGGAAAGAATTTTTTAAGAACTGGATAATGCTACAATATCTAGAATGAAAGTGAAATTAGATCTGAAGAGAAACTTCTGAAAATCCAGAGGGAAGTTCAATAAAAGGAAAATCTATTTTCCTAAAACTTATCACGACACAGGAAAAAAAAAAAAAGCAATCTTTCACCATCTTCAAGTGACTACGCTCTTACTATTATGTCCTCTAGACAGTAATAAATGCAATATAATTAATGAATATCAGTAAAGTAGAAGCCACTATTCACTATTCTCTTCAGCACAGATTTTATTCAAGTTAAAACTATTTATAAACAAGTCACAAACCACCATCAGCTTGAAATAAGTTGCATGCAGACAGAGCTCAGTAAATGCATGCTTCCTTGCGCAGGTAGCATCCATGCCAGGAAGCATAAATCATGCCACTACAAATAAAAAGCTGCTTAAAAGGGATTTATTTTCTGGAACACCATCCACTGCTGCACAAGTATGCACAGAAAGATGAAACAAAAGTCACTGGTGATTAACTCATGCAAATACTATTTTAAAACCATTCTATTTATCTTCTGCTCTACTTTCATCTCTATGGTAAGTAGATGTTATTTCAAAAAGTCTCTCTTTGTTAAATAATTCACAAAATAGAACAGAGCAGCAGTTAGAGTGAAGTCTACACAAAATATTTGTTAAATATCAGCTCCAGAGTCATCCAGCAAGTACATGCCAATACTGCAATCTTGAACAAAAGATCCCCTTAAAAACACTGAACCTTTTAGACACCTTATAAGTTATGCACAGCTATTCTCTGCATCCCATGAAGAGAAAACCTAATTTACTAATTAAAAGATAATAAAAATCATAACTCAGTAGAAATCCTCAAAACACATTTTAGCTGAAGGACACAGCAGGTATTATTACATATTTGAATTTTCCAGCTATTCAGAAACAAAGCTACCAGAAGGAGGAAAACAGTGGACTGAAGAGAAGTAACTAGCAATTATTAGCTTATCATTCAAAGAGTTCTTACTGTTTATCTGTATTATGGCACTAAAACAAAACAAAAAACCCACATAGTTTTCTATCACAGTTATTCTTCTTGTATCTGTCCTTTTTCAGAAGTCATGCTGGAAATGGTTAGCTAAGTCAAAAATGCTTATGGTACTGTCTGCTGTTGTTTTTGTTTTCCTGACAAACTCCAAGCAGAAGATATGTACAATCTTGTCCCGCTTTCTACACAGTTTTGAACTAGCTCCATTATCTGACCAAAACAAACAGGAGCAGTTTGCACTTTGAAATGCTCTTAAATGATAGTCTGTAGTCAGCTACAATTAAGGTTAGACTTTCATTCATTAGCACTTTCTATTTTCAAGCTGCACTGTTTCTGGGACATTTCATCTTTTTTTTTTTTTTTTTTGACAAGACTTTTGGGACCTTAAAACAGGAAGAAAGTAACTATCATGAAAAATAAAGAAGTCTTAAGCAATTATTGTATTTTATTCTTTCTTAATCTGAAACCCCCTTTTTCCATGATGGATTCATTTTTTTTCCCCACTTACTTCCAAGCTGCCTCGTTTTATTGGATTCAGTACTAGCAGCTTCTTCAGTAGATTTTCACAGTCTGTGGACATATAGAATGGAATGCGGTACTTCCCCCTCAGTACTCGCTCCCTCAGTTCCTTTAAAACAAAGTTTTAAAAGGTGAGCCTACTAATGACATAGAAGATTTAAAGAGAGTAAAAGCCAAGCTTTCATATTATAACTGTACCTTTAGATTCTGACCATCAAATGGCAATGATCCGCTTACTAGTGTGTACAAAATCACCCCAAGGCTCCACACATCCACTTCAGGACCATCGTATTTCTTTCCTTGGAAAAGTTCAGGAGCGGCATAAGGGGGGCTTCCACAAAACGTGTCCAGTTTATTACCAACTGTAAATTCGTTACTAAAACCAAAGTCTGCAATTTTAATGTTCATGTCTGCATCAAGTAGAAGGTTTTCTGCCTAAGAGAAAAATAAAACAGGAAAAGGACAATTTATGTATCAGAATAAAATCAATATATTACACTGTATCATTTATCAATAAATGCAAAAATGTTTCTTTTTCTAAAATGGTTCACCATCTGTATCTTGCAGAACAAAAGAAACTAATCCCCCTGAATACATTACAAAGATTGAAAATCAACTATGTTTACTCAGGAAAATGTAACTGTTAAAAGCAGCTAAACAGACTTGAAAGTCAGCTAGTGAATCAACTATGAAGATTTTCTTTTCTGGAAGAAATAACTTGGTTCAGCTTTAGGCTGAAGTATCTAGACATCTCAGAATAGCAGTTTCAGCTTTTGACAGGTTCATGCCAACTTCTGATGCCAAGGAGCGTAAATCTAATCCCAGACATCATGTACCACTTTGGTGGGGTAAACGTTAGAAGGGATTTAAGACTTTAAAAGAAGATCTCTTCTGCTTACAAGATGTAAGCTACGTGCATAAGCTACGTGCTGTATCTTAGCATTCTGTACCAAAACATACTCTCTCCTTTATTATTAGAGTTTGCTTTAGCAATAACAACACAAAGGTGTTTAACACTCTGCTACTAAATATTAAAAAAGCACATGTATTATACATCTAAGAATATTAATGCCTGTGCAGCAATCATCCTGTGAATGCAATGCATCACATATACCTAAATGCAAGTATTCAGGAACCTGGGAGAGTCAGTAAACAGCATCTTATACTTAGTATCACAGGTAGGTCAGAACATTAAAAGAGCAAGGTTAGAGAAATACTAATCCATGACTGGAAAAAAAATAAAGTACATTTCTCAAAATGCAACAATACTGTGCAAGGAGTGCAGCAGAACCGGGCAATGTTTACTCGCTTAACTGGGTCCTGACTCCTGATCTGCATATCAGCAACACAAGAGCAGCACTGAGCAGTGCAGGAATACTTTTTCAACAGGAGGACTGACATTAGCCAGAGCAAAGGATTCACCTAATTGCCAAACATCAGTTTTATAGCAAACACAGACATCTCATAGGATGCTGTCCTCAGAATTGAGCCCAGAAAATAAAAAAAAAAAAACAACTTAGTTCAGGATCAGAGAAGCAGCAATCAATTTGTTAGTTGCTTTGATTAAAAGGGTAAACATGAGCTTGTTTGGGTTCGTTTGTTGGTTTTATGTTTTAATAATTTCACTTGCACTCAGTGAACAGAACAGGAAACAATTAACTACCAGTATATCAAGCCAATAGCTGCGCAACAGAATTTAGCCTTTATCAGGAGTAAAATAGAGACCATTTTTACAAACTAACTATCCTGGAAAATATTTTATTTTCCCAATTCATGACCTGTAATCTCAGCTGGTTCCAGCTGATGTGCCTGCAGACAGACTCACAGAGATATTTTCCAGATTTGACAGCCTTCTACATGACTGCACAAAGACTTCATTTTCCTTGTGGTGAAAACATCACTGTCAGCGCAGCTGCTCTGCGATTACAATAGTCCTCCTAGTTCAAGAGTACTCTGCTACCCAAGTACCCCACGTTTTTAGGTTCCTTACTTCAGACAAAAACACCAAAACAACATTTTTAACATGCCAAATAGAAAGACTATGCTCTTGTTGGTTACATGTTCAGAGCAAAAAGTATTAACAGTCACTGAAAAGGCAAGGTAAGTTTTGTGCCTCACAGGATGAGCAAAGTTGGAATTGGTTATAGCCCTTTCTGTGCAAGCTGTTTATAATCACAGAAAATTAAAAGGAGACCATTTAAGTACCCACTGGCCTTGCATTCCCTCCCCTTTTGCCAGAATAGCCTGGACAAACATGCACATTTTCTTACATGCCTTCCTAGTTTAGTCTGAAGTAACTTGTATTTGATGGAGTTTACCCTTTCTGTTATTAAAGCCAAAAAGGCTTAAAAAAAAAATCTCCAAAGGGGCACTAGACCTCTGCCTTGCTGTGCTAACAATGTCAATTGGTCAGCGTGCTGATACCATGGAGGAAGTCAACAGAAGCAGATGTGAATGCAGACACAACTTTAAAGTTGCTTCTTCCTTCTCTGCAGCTCCATGAGAAGAGTTTTAAGTGAAACAGAGATGACACGTAACATTTGGAAAGAACAGACGAAGTGAGAACACCTCCTCAAAGCCATACATTTAGCCCCTTTTTCTCTGGGAAACGTATTTTTTATTGGCTAGGCTGACTGGCTCTCAGTCACACCTAACACTGAACTTTTCAAATGAGTCTAACATAACTCCATCCAAGAGAAGATGGAGAGAGAAAAGCAAACAAAGAAATTATTTTGGAGCCTGCCTGCCTGTCTTGCAAATAGGAAGGAGATCAGCAGCAGAGTACTTGTGACAGATGGTAAAAGGGATCCCGCATGAACACTGCGAAGCAGTTTTGGATAGCCCTGTGAGCAATGCAGTGAGCTGCATGCGTGCTATGGAACTAAGACATGAATGAAGGCTGGAGGCTGTAATGGGCTCTGTGAGAAAGAGCAAGATGCAGGATGCTAAATAACTGCAGGGGTTAATGCAGTAAGACTCAGTAATATAGCTGGGCTGAGCACACCAGGGCCAGAGAAGCACAAGGAGATGGCTGGCTCCCTACTCCCAGTCAAGTATAGGGCTGAGACAACCAGTGAAAGCAGCTTGTCCAGCCAAGACAACAGGTCCCTAGGTGCAGTCCTCTGGAAAGCTCAATAACAGTGGCTGCAGTAAGCTCCAGGGAGCTTGACAAAACATTCATGGGCTCCAAACCACCACGGAAGATGGGGAAGAATTTTTTTTAATCAAGATTTCAACGAGATTCAGCCCTTTCCTTCCTTGTATTCTGACTTCAGAGTGCTGGCCAGGCACCTCCATCATCAGATGACAATGGTCCTGGGGCAGGGAGGACTCAGCAGAAAAGGATGTGTTATCCAGCACCCTATGCACATGCAGGAGCTGGCAGATTGACAGGTATTAGGGAACAGATTTGTAAGAAAGAGGTTGAGAGCATGCTGCAGTGTATTACAAGAAAGTTAAGACAAAAGATACTGGTGAAAAAAACCCTTAGGAATTATTCAACCTCAGCTTTTCACAAGTATTTATATATATTAGTAAAAAAGAACATACACCAGTGTTTTCTTTGTAAACGTACAAAGATATCAAAGCAAGAGCACAAGCCAACTTTTAAGTGGGTGAAGATCTTGTGTCCAAGTCCCATGATATCTAAACTTGGCACAAAGACAACTACAGACTGAATGCTTAGATTGTACCTGCAATTGCTGAACTCTAACATGGTCTGGTATGTTTATGCAGATAGATGACTAGAAAACATAAAAAAAAGGAAGTTTAACTAATTTCTGTTTACCTTCAATTTATTTTTCTGCCTGAATTAAACACTAGAGTATAAACCAGAAGTTCAAATGGATTAAAAACCTAATATATTCCTTATGAATCACTAAGGAAAGACTGTTTTATATATCTTGCAATATATTTTAACTGAAAATATTTTAATTAAGTAGTGCTGACTGGTATCATTGAACTTCTGCAGCTTCAGTGTGTAGGTATCTGCATGCCAGCAGATGTAATTCTTTGGAGAGCATGTCTTTTTCTTAAAGCCAAAACTGTAATGAAAGTAACACATGTTCTATTCTTGTCTCTCTCCTGTTCTAGCAGGCAAGCTACATTATTTTTCTGCTTCAGAAAATTGAGAATAAAATGCAAGTGATAGTTCCCTCATTCACATTTTTGAGGCATTCGGAGACAGTGGCAAGGACAAGTATATTGAATGAAATTAAGTCTATACTGTCAATCAGCAAAATGAAAAATAAGTAACACCCTACCTTAAGATCACGATGAACTATGCATTTCTGATGACAGTACTGCACAGCAGATACAATCTGAAACACCAAGATGATCAGTGAAATATTATTTCAATCTCAGTATAAGTTTTTGTATACAATTTAGTAATTTTGGCTCCTGATATGATTCAGTGGAACATAAGAAATTAATAAATAAAGCTTTTGTTTTAGCAAATATTCATGTTTAAAGCTCAAATACTAAAACTAAAAGTCCCTAAAAGCAGCTACTTTTCTTATTAAAAAAAGTTTAATACGTACTCCCCAAGGTAATAGGAGAGACATCTATTCCTAAATGCAGATCACCCAACAGCAATAACTATAAAAGAGAATTATTCCACTCCCCAACCCAATAGCTGGATGTACCATCTCAGGTTTTATCTTCTGAAATATCTGCACCATATTCTGCAATTCATCCCTAACAGAATAGTTCATTCAACACTTTCATATACATCTTTCACGTATCTGTAATGAAACCCAAGTCTGAATCAGCAAGTTAAAAGCAGTTTCTTTACATGTTAACTATATATCTTATTTCTGAAAAATACAAAATTTTGTTTATCTAATTAAAGCTCTTCACAAAATAATCACTAAAAACAGGGTAAGAAAGATTAAGATGAGAAAGTTTGTAATATAAATACATATAAGAATATAAAAACCTGTTACAGAATACCCTTCATACAAAACACTGTGACATGACACAGCAATACATATTATCATATCAACATCTCTATATACATCCATTAAATTCTAACATATTCAGAAAAGGACTAAAACCTCAAGTGAGTCACAATACAAAAATGTGGCTCTTAGGAACATCCACTAAAAAAGAATGTAAAACAGTCTTACTATTTTTAGACAGTACGTAGGAAGCAGATATTTTTCTCTTTAGGGATTTTTTTCCACTCCAGCTTTAATAAACATTATCACAACAATGAATATTTTTTTAAAGTAAAAGAAGTATGCTCACACTCATGGCTATCTGAAAACACCATAAATAGAAACAAACAAAAAAAAGAATAAATGTTAATTTCATACCTGCCTGAATTTTGCACGAGCCTCTTTCTCTTTCATCCTTCCATGTGCAACTAGGTAGTCAAACACTTCTCCTGACCATAACAAGGAAAAAATGTCAGTCATATTGCCCAGGTTTTATTTTCGACTGTCACGCACAATCAAATCATGCTTGAAGACAACACCCACACCCACCCCACACCCCTTCTTGAAGGGAAAGGAAATAGAAGCAGCCAGGAAAAATTCCTTTTTACTGTTTGCATTGGATTTCATTTTTCAGACATGTAATAGTCAAGAAATACAAAAATGGAACCCTTCATACTAAGGCTTCTTCAATTTTTAAAATAAATTCACTTAAGAAACACTAATGATTAAAGTAATTTTTTTTTGTTTCATAAAAACATTCATATGGCACATAAGACACACTGGGAAACAGGCAACTTCTTATGTACCAGATTTGTTTCACATATCTCTAGCAGCTTCACTTAACAGTATCTGTATTACTTCAGGTTTTATCATCTTGTTGTCTTTCTAATAAAGCTGCTCAAGTGCCTTTCAGATCCTCATCTTTGCACTGTCTGACAAGCAACCTTTCCTAGCTGGTCACTAACCCTGTGCTAGATTCCCTTCCCACATTCAAACATTCCCCATTCAGATGCTAAGCAGCTTCTCAAGCAGCCACCCACTATTCCTCTCACTCATGATCCTGCTGGTCCCCTTTCCCGTGTTCCTTATTCCCATCCCCCAGACCTGTCTCTCCAAGTGCTTTGGTACACATTTTCAAGATAAAAGGAGGCACCACTGCTTGCCTAAATATAGCAGATAAATACTGAATCAAGTTTTTGCCAGAATCGGCACCAGATTATCTCCTGATATTCCAGCAGAAACCTCAGAATGGGTTACTTAACAGAATGTGATGCAAGCAGGAAAGTCTGCCCTGGGAGGTCTGCTAGGACTGTTGTGAAGGCCAGATTGGAATAACCCATTAACCATAAAATCCTTGAATTCTTCCTAGGCATGCAACCGGTATGGCTTTCCATATTTCAGTTAATCCTTAAAGCAGAATTAAGAATCCACTTACCCCCACTGGCATATTCCATTACCAAATACAATGTCTTTTCAGTTTCAATAACTTCAAATAATTTTACTGCAAGAAAAATGAATGACATATTGCAGCAGGGAGCAAAAGCACAGCACGAATAAAAAATTATACTCATGAAGTGAGTATAATTCATGGCCAGTGATAACACTAAACCATACAAAAACTTTGTGTCCTTTAGGTTAGCATTCTTTTGAGGGGGAAAAAAGCAAAATTAACTTCTAAATCACGGTTGATAATAAAGCATATTAATTCATAATTTTCTCAGAAGTTTATGCACAGTGTACAAACAAGTTCATGCTGAAATTAGTGTTTAATTTGACACAGACATCTTTAAGATCATACAAACCTTCCCTGTTTTGCTAGTAAACTGCTCCCAGTTAGAAATCTGAGATTCTGACCAACTAAAAACCGAGTGGATACCACAAACATCAAGTCTGGAAGACTGTCCTCAGATTGTAATAGTAACCACTCATTTAAAACACCTCCCCCCCCCGCCCAAGAAAACAAAAACCAGCAGAAGCTAAGAATGCTGGAAAAGCAACAAACAATTGAAGGGATGAGAAGGGAGTGCCTAGCATGTAATAACTTGTACACCTCAACCATACCTTGTATGCAACAAGCCCTCTGGCCAATTCAGGACCATTAACTGTCTCTGGAACAAGACTGTCCAGCCCTCCTCAGCCAGAAGAATTGTCATCACAAAGTAGGGCCCTGAAGCTGTGGGGCAGGTGAAAGAACTAAAGCAGAAAGGGAAAATTACATACTTTGTAATTGTAATTTTCTGGAAATATCAGTCAGTGGGAGTCTTTCCTACACTGAACTAATGGAGTTTTGCTACTTTCACCTAAGAAACTCATGCTTTTTAGCCTCAAGAGTAATTTCAATGGAAGAGGGGAGCTGGGGCCCTCAATAGACTAAAGTGCTCAGCATCGCCTACTTTGTATTAAGGCTTTCCTGGACTGAGCAGTTTATCTCCTCAGAGAAAAATTCTTGTTTCAAGCAAAGTCAATAAAGGAGGTGAGACAATGAAGCATTTACCAAATGCTCACTGTCCTATTATCTCAAAAAAGTTTAATGAAAAAAAGCATAGCAGTGAAGTACATTCAAATAAAGCCAGAGTAAAATGTGAACAGTATAATAAAAAGAAAAGTTTGCAGAAATGCAGGGCTCCTACCAATATTGGGATGATTCAGTATCTTCATTATTCGTACTTCTCGAAACAACTGTCAAGGAAGCAAGACAATTTTCTTAGAGTGTGTTTATTAGGGAAAAGGTACAAAAGATATGCAATTTTAGATGGCAAAAAGGAGCAGGATAAGCCACAGAAAATAGCATTAGCATAAATCATAAATAGTGCAGTGAACTCCAGAAAACATAATCTACATCTTGTACATTATATAAAAATAACCACTACCAGCTACATCAAAACCAGGCTAATTTTTAAGCTTTACACAGACACAGGTAAGTTTTATAGCCCTTTCTGGAGTTTCACACTGACCAAAACCAATGGATTATTCACACAAGTTTTTGTTATGTCTTTGCTCCAATTTCTTTGGTGACTAGCAAGCTCAGCTAACTACCCTGAATACATACATAACTGTGGGTGTAAATACAAGGTGTAGTACTACAGAAAAGTCGAACACACAGATGTTAAAATGCAATTAGATTATCAGGAATCCTGACGTACCCCAGTCCTGCCACTCTGTGAAGCTGAAGCAGGCAAGTTCACTTTCCTCACAACTACCAAATTTCACGCTGGGTCACAAGCAGTGATGTCCCCTCTCCCTCTGGGAAGGCCTGAAGGTTTATGATTGATGAAAGTCTGCTTTATGATCCTGAGTCACATAATTAAAAACAACTGGACAAACTTACAGCCCTAAGTGTATATACTTAAGACAATGGTGGGTTTACTTTTTTTTTTTTAAACCAGAAACAAGAGATCTTTGCTCTTAAATTTCTAGTATTCATGGGTTTATTGATTGAATAAGAGGTGAAGCAAGACTAACCTAGGGGCTCAAAGGGAAGAAAGCAAACAAAAGGAATCCAAAATGGCTACATAGTTCTGTTATTCTATACTTGAGGCTGTCAATACTGATAAGCTTGCACTGCTTTACTTCAAGTGAACAGCAATCCCCATCGCCAAATCTATTTACTGTGCTACACGCTCTTTAATCCCATATTGGGCTGAAGCACGATGCTGAAATGAAGGAAGAAAAGCTCACTGGCTTCAGCATAATGCTTAGACATTTTGGAAACATCTTAGCACTATAGTCCTCCTTATAGAGAAACTTGGCTCAACACAGAAGTGCGTTGTTGCTGTTTTGCTCGTCTAATGTCTCAGAGGACATCTCTCCCTCCATTTTCAAAATTAGTCCCATTTGTTCAGATGCTATCTTTGCAAAAGGGTACAATGATGAAAGCCAGAGACTGAACACCTCCTCAAAGAGTAGCACTTTAGTTTCTATTTTATGATGGCTGAGGCAACAAGTTAAGAGAAATTAAAATTCTTCTGCTTAGATAACACTGACTTTTTTACTCCATTTGTGCAACCTAGTCATAACATTTCTAAAATTCTGCATTTATTCTACAAGTTAAGACTACAGAGCAACATCTTACTGTAATTCAGGTTTTGATCAATATTATTGCAGTTCTACATTTACTTTACGTAAGTATTTCAAGCTAGTTACTATCCACTTGCCTTATAATTGCCATTAAAACAATTTCAGAAGGAAGCAAAGACTATAAAAGCATTTCTTTGAGAAAACACGAACAGTATGATGCAGTTTGCTTGTGTTCAAAATGTGAAACACGGGTATGCAATACTATGCACTGGAATTAACTTTAGCAAATATTCTTGTTTCCTCATAAAGTCAGTTATTCCTGTGAAAAAACATATTAGACTGTTCTTTGTGCATTTTTTTTAAGTATTCGAATTTGTTGCACAAGAAAGTTTCCCAGCTAAATCGGTATCAATTAGTCAGAAGCTAACAAATCTAAACCAATAGATGGTACAGCTTCAGAACAGCTTCTAAGCAGGTATGTGGAAAACTGTAATTCCTGCCAGAAGATTGGAAAGATATTTCATAACTTAACAGTATTAATGCCAGTAATAAAAGTTATGGCAATGAATGCATGTCTTCTATAATAAAATAATTTTAAATATAGAAAGAAGATCATTAAGAAAAACAATTTTACTTGTAACATGAAGCACATAGTAATTGGGGGGGGAAAGGTGGATTATTTAATATTCTCACAGGATTTAGAAGTTTACTAATTGGTTTAAGATTCAAATGGATTTCACAGTGGCATGAAATTTTGTTCCACATAATATGTAATTTTTCCTTCCATAAAGGAAAAAGCCTATTAGGAAACAGACATAAAACTCTATTTTCCTCAAGACACAACGTTACTGACCTCTAGCCTGACGCAGATACTTTGTTATACAAAAGAACCACTTACTTGCTCCGGTTCTGAACAGAAGACATCACCAAGACCCAAAGTATGGGCTTAGGTTTATTCTGTACAAACACCAATAAAATTTTTTACAACATCTTGTATTATATATCCTGTTGAATAGACATTTTTCAGAAAAGTGAAGCATATGTTCTCATACAAAAGCAGGTAAGCAGTCCTGGTAGTCACCATGAGTGTATCAAGAGAAAGTAGTAAGTCTCAACCTTTTGAAAGAAAGCAGCTATTCTAATGCAAATTATAAATGAACTCAAAGTCACAAGGTGAATCTGGGTATTTTCTTGCTGGTTAGTAGCTCTGAGGAGGGCTTTTTGTTTGTTTGGGGATTTTGACTCAAAGGCACTTTTAATGTTGGTGGAAATGCCTTTGCATGCTTAGAGCAAGAACTGGACAAGGCTGAAGCAGCCGAAGTTATCTTAGGTGATGCTCATCCACACAAATCATGTCAAGCATAAGCTGAACAGAAACTGGCTATTTTATTTTACAGATGGGATGGTGTCAGTCTCCCTAGAAACATATGAGAGCAGGGAAACAGAGAAATTGGCAGAATAAGAATTGTAAGAATAGTTGAAATCTTGGAATCTACCTGCAGGTACCTGCTGACTAAATTACTTGCTCTGAGGAAAGATTAAAAAACCCTAAGTGGTTGTACTCCCTACAATATTCCTCTCCCAACTACCTGCCCACTACTGAAACTACAGCACGCAAGGTTGCCTTCTTCATGGGGAGATCCACATTACTCAGAGTTCATGTTTTGCAGTTGTTACCAGCTTCTGACAAGTTTCCAGCAGTTGTTTACCTGGAAACTGACATTTTCAGACCTTTTCTGAAGTAACTCAGGTATAGGCATCTTGCAAATTAGGCAGATTTAACTTACATGTTCCATGATACTGCTACATAACTAAGTCAAGCAGCTTTGCTAAGGCTGCTTGGCGTGACAGATACCTTCCAACCCAGGAAGAAAGAAATTGTTTAAAGTGCTGAAAGAACTGAAATAATGGAACAGCACTATGTAGAGACCACAAACACAGCCACATTATACCTTGTGTAGCTCCTGGCCCATACAGTCCAAGGGGGTGTATAAGGGTGTCTCAAATACAGAGTGGGGAGAAAGAGCAGGGAAAGTTATTTCAATACAGATGTTCAAAAGAGCAGAGGGGGAGTGGGATGGAAATCTGGCAAACGAACTGTTCCCTGGAGTTCTGGTGTATATTCAGGATGTTATTTGGTCCACTATAAATGAACATTTATACAAGTTAAGAAAATGCCAAAGTTCACTCCTCCAATATTCTCTCACAAGAGAGAAACAATCTAGAAAATCTCTGAACAATGGATAACACTTCAATAAAAGCATTAACAGTATTCAAGTATTAGAATACATTATTTTACATTGCATCTCTGCATTCTGTGGAGCACTACTTTGGGATAAATCCACCGCCCTTTCTCCTTGCAGAAGCACACTGGTCATTAACACTAGTTGTGGCAATAACAATGTATTTACAAATAGAGATATCTTTAAACAACAGCCACCACACCCCTCTAACACCCAGGATATCGCTATACGCAAAGGAAGAGATGTATTAAAGCAACAAGACCATAGTTATTTCCTACAAAGCCAAGTTTGTTAATTTTATAGAAATATGGACAGAACAGTGAAATTAGTTCTCCTTTCACGAGAGGGCGAGCTGCAGGATTATATAATGATCTATTTTACTGACAAAAAATAGCACTTTCAGAATTCACACACACCTCTATTTTCTTAAGCAGCAGTGTACTTCTCTCTCAGAAGGTCTAAGTGCTCCCTGAATCCTCTCCCCCCACCCCACATTTATAGGACCGCTCTTCCTTCTTAACAAAGTGCTACCATTCAAAAAAAAGCTCTTGAACAAGCATCTTGTTGCAAACAGGTTGTAGCTTCAATAGCTTCACTTATAGTAGAGGACAGCCAGCACCATACTCAATTTGAAGAACTTGTACCTATGGAAAAGGCACAAGGCTTGAGAATTTGATTCTTGCTTTTCCAGTTTCATTTTTAAGGGCACAGACTGCAGAAAGTGCAAAGATCTGTCACACCATTGCTAACACTTCTGCTTGCTGTCAGGTTGACATCTATGATTAAGATTAACTATTTTAAGTCACTGCAATCGAACTAAAAATCTTCAGTTAACCAAGGCCTTTTCTTGCTTTGAAAGATGTGCTTGAATGCTTCTCTAGTTTCTAAATCATTACCGAGAAGGGATGTTGCAAAAAAGCATAGCTTTCAATAGGTAATATTGAAATTGTTCCAAATCCTCTACTTCTTTATTTCTGTTCTGCTTTTCTTAACAACAGAAAGAACCTAAGTTTGAGGCTTTAGGTATGTTTAAGGAATAAAAAGAAGTCTGCTGACCCCCAAAACGGGAAAATGTGAAATGCCCCTTGCTAAGTGAAAAAAAGGCACCTTCTGTTCCACTAGCAGTTTGCAGAGAAGAGCAACAGAACGCTATTTCAGAAACATCCCTAGTGAAGCCAGTCCAAGAAGACACTTTCAATGTAGCAGACATGCACAAAATAGAACAGCTATTTTGATATAATTCTAGTTGTGATGAAACCCAAATACTTACACTTGGGATCAAACTACAGTCATGACAGGGGAAAAAGCTAAGTCAGCATAATATGCTACTATCAAGATAGCAAGTTCACAAAAAAGCCAGCTCTGTCTTCTGAACAGGTGCTCACTGAGTAAGATGGGAACCACATACTGAACAAACTGAAAACAAAATAAAAGGCAGTGCCCTTAATTCAACATTGTTTGTCTATTTAAAGAGGTAGAGGTCCTGAAGCAAGAAATATAAGACTATCACATTGCATGCACAAGGATGCAAAATTAAAAATTCACAAGGTCAGCTTACTCGTGTCTATCTCCTAACATTTGACGGTTTAAGCTAAAATAACTATGTCTGAGAAGTACCCTATCCAAACTATATAGCATAAATAACATTGGAAAGTGGCTAAGAACAAACTAAACACTGCCTTGCTTCCACATCCGTGACTAACTACAGACCTAGCTTGTATGCCGCTTTCAGCAACTGAAGTATGTGCTCAAATATTTCTGTTTACAAAGCAGAACAGTGCATGAGACCCTATGATGGCTCAACTCAGTTTACTTAATTAGGTCAGTAGCAAGTACTATGGTAAAACCTACTCACACCTGGTATCCTTTATATTATAGTGAATGGAAAGGGGATGGTTTTGTGAACAACCCTGTGCCTAAGATCACTACATATTTGTCTTGTTTGATCAATAATAATCAGTAGTGATTGAAGGCCTAAAAGTTTTGCTGACCTGTGTACAATTTACCAGCTTTGAAGTTCTAGAGACTGTCTTCTCAACTATGTTAATTTAGATGGGTTCAAACTCAGGAGTGGTATTTTTGTGACAGTAACATACTCCAGTATTCCTCTATAAACATTCATTAGAAAAGTGTCTGTTCCTATTAAAACAATACTACTATTACCACTTCCCATTCCCAATATTATGCCTTGAAGAAAAAATTGTCTACTTAGCAGTCCTATGTACAGCATAACCCTGATAAAAAAATTGTAAAAATTCACATTACAGTGATACTATACAGTATATAAAGAATCACAAACTTTATGTAATAGTTCAGTGCAGAAAGAAAAATAAAGATGACTGATTTCATAGAACAAGAATTTTTAAAATTTTATTTAGAATACACAAATGACCTATCAAAATACTAACAAAAGAAGTAATTCTAAGCATGCTGATGAACCATCCTCCCACCCTTATTTGCTTTAAAAAAAAAATCTACAGTTGTTTGAGTGACACTGCAAAAACTGTGCTTAAGCTACTTAAAAGCTTTCAGGAAATCACTATTCAGTTTCACTCAAAATTCTCAGAAAACTGTAGGAAGCTGAAGACATTTAGAGCTTCAAAACAAAGATTATTTTTTCTGAAAATGACAATCAAGACTTCACAAAGGAAAACTTTAAACCAACAAATTATCACACTTTCCAGTGTAAGCAGAAGATGCATGGGATAAGTATTTCTAAAAGTTATTGAAGAAGGACAGAATTGTAGTTAAATCACGAAATTTAACTTCTATCCTTAGTTCTGCTATACCCTGCTTCTAACTGTACCTAAAAATGTTTCTCCTGTTATCAGCTTCCCACTCAAAAAACCAAATAACAGCAGCAATGTCCTATTATATGAGTATTTTGTGTACTACTTGTGCAGTGTGACAGCATCTTTTGTAGGCCTTGGAAGATTCATTTATACTTCAAATGATTTACTGAATTATTATTGAATATTTTTGTGTGAAATACACCTTATTTATCATTAAAGCAATTATCCCAGTAATAAGTTTTTCATGCTTAGTTTTCCAGAAAGTTTTAACGTTTTTTACCCTCTCATTGCTCAACAATGCGACAAACTCACCTACCTTTCCAAGTATAAATACCAAGCTAGGTAGGAAACAAGCTATGTGAGCAGCACTGGATTTGCCCAATATGCTCTGTCACGTACTGCCTCTGTGGGTCTCTCTTCACTAGCTCAAATATTAGCAAAGAGATTTGCTTAATATAGGATATAGGACTTAAGGATAGCAAAGCTTTTGCATAGACTCTGCACAGCAGGTTGAATCGAAAAAAAAAACATCCTGAAGAACCCACACCCAAACAAAAATACTACAGAAGAGAAATTAAAGCAAATAAATAGAATTAAAAGAAATCAAAGGAAAAAGAAATCAAAGCAAAATTCTTTATAACTCCCCATAACCAAAGTTACACAATAAAATAAATGTAACAGCAGCCAGAGATAAAGGAACAGCAGTAAGCCCTAGCCTCTTTCTCTCATTCTACAGCTGCAGACAGCAGCAGTCTAGTATTTATAAACAAAAAAATGTCCCAAATTTTTATAATGGACAACTTGCAGTAGGACAATACAACATTTCTGTGCTTCAGCCAAAACCAAACATATACATAGTTAAATAGTACAAAACCCCAAACCAAACAAAAAACCCCAGGGTTCTGTTAAAACACTTATCACAATGGTTATGAAGGACTTCTGAATTTCTATCTACAAGCACAAACAAACAAGAATGCTCTGATTATATTCAATCATTTTGTCAATCCTACACACAAAAAGTAATTGCCAAAGGTCCCTTGAGTTTAACAAATATTTTATTAAAGTTGAAAGAATATAAAAACAAAGGTTAAAAAAAAAATTGAAGCCATTTTAAGTCCACAAAACCCAATTACTACATGAAAGAAAAATCCAGGAAAAGTACCCTTTACACCATTATGTCTTAAATTTACTAAGTAGACAAACTACTTGTGTACCTAATTAGATACAAATTTTATTGTCAGTAAAGAGTAAAGCTGGAGGAGGAAGGAAGAGCAAAGAAGCAATGCTTAGATAGGAACCACATACAGTAACTGCCCTCAGACAAATTGCGCATGTGCATTATAGCAAAGACAGCAGGATACCACTGTCTGCCAAGGACATATATAGACAAAGATGTTTGTTTAGCAAGATAAAGGGACCAAATATTTTTGTCAAGTAAATAAAAGATCACAGTTCAACTGTTTATAGAATTTCAGATGTTATGGTATATTCTTACCTTTTGCAGACTAGTAGGATTAAGCTGGGTTTTATCTATTATTTTCACAGCAACCTCGGGAAAAACAACCAACCATGGATTATTAAACTCAGAAAAATGTTTGAACAGAAATATATTACATCTCTGTAAGCAAAAGCATAGGTGTGCCTATAATACATGCATATACGTCTGCTTTTATGTACTTCATCAAGCAGAATTTCCTCACCTATCAGGATCTACCAGCAGGAGCTCAGAACTTTGCCACCAGGTGGTACCAATAAGGAATCAGTTTTATACTTCTGTCAGTGTTTGGACAGAACAACGTTATCCTGTCCACTGCAAAACCAGGCCCTCCAAACACAAGATCTAGCTATCAGTAGATTTCAATATCAATGAAATCTATCTATCAAATTTCTCTACGGTTTTGGAAATGCTTTGGGATGAACAGACCCTCTCCCAGCCCCAAAATCCCCCTTGATGCACAAAAAACCCTTTTTGATCTCTTCACCAAGAAGTTACATTTTTAAAAAAGGGGTGAGTGGTCAGAGAGAGAAAACTTGGGGCACCTCAGGTAACTTTTCCTATATCCTGAAACAGCATCTTTATATTTTCCTTTATGATGACAAAAAAAATGTGCTTTTTTATTCAGAAGAGAAAGGTAAAAGAACAGTAGAAAAACATAAAGACAGCCAAAGAGAATATAAAACACAGTCAGGCTTTTTTTTTTTTGAAAGGCTTACCTCTCTTCCAGTAAGCACATGCCTTGCCAGTTTCACTTTGGCAAAATTTCCTTTTCCTATTGTTTTCAGTAAGCGATAATTTCCAATGTGAGGATGCTCTTCATTGGTAGATGTAATGGAGTTTCTACATCGGGGGATGTTTTGTCTGCTACTTGACTTGATAGGCTGGACGTGTGGTTCAGTGTATCCATCCACAGAGGTGTGCTAGAAGGCAGATAAAATAGTTGGGAATTTAGCTACTTGGATTTTAGACATTCTGCAGCAGAATGACTAGAAGCATAAAAAGGTCTAGAGGGGGGTAATTTATTTACTTTTACAATATAACTGACAACTTTTGATGGTAGCCTAAGCAGAACATGCTGTCTTTGGGCAGAGTTTGATGCATGTCTCAAGAAAAAAGTCTGCAGAAAGATTTTTACCAGCTTCAAAAGTAAAACTAGAGACACCTAAGCGGTAATCAACAAACCATTACAGACTTTTTTTTTTTAACATGCCAAAGTATACACTATGCCAAAGTATACACTACACCACTACGTTGCAAATAAACTTGTCTAATCATAACCAAATCTAATATTTTAAAAATACACAGTACAAAAAATATTTGTACTTTGGCGTATTTGGAAACAAGGTTTCACTCTATTTTTTTCTTTACTTTCTTCACTCTAATAACATTGAGAAAAATATTTTTTCAAGTAATCTTTGTTCCCCAAGCCAGTTTGCATCTTTTTGTAAGTCACAGTTCTCATTCAAGTAATGAACAATCTACATTTTTATTTTAAGAATAGATTATTATTTTTAAAAGAAAACTCCATGATATCTCATAAATATATTTGAAATCTCAAAAAGTCTGAAGAACTAAAAGGATGTTATTTTTAATGCATGCCAACACATCATCCCACATTAAATGTTAGTCACTGAAATCTGCAGTGCTTCTGTACTCTTTTAACTTCCAAGTATATATAAGGGGCAAGATGCAGATGGGGCCTGGAAATGTTCCAAGAAGAAACCAAAGTAACAGAAGATGCCAGAGGGGTGTTAAGTGTTTCAGTATTTCAAATGCTTTCTAACATTAGTGGCAGATGGGTACAAAAGTTTAACAGGTAAAATTTAGCCTCTAATCTTTTAAGTTAGAGATTTTAAGGCAAGCAAATACTGTACGTAGAAACAGTGTCTTCTCAGACCACTTTTTAGATTTTGTAACAGAAAGGCATGCTCACTCAGTTCCTGCTAAGCACAAAGCACCAACAAAACTCAAAAGACACCTTAGTATTTTCCCATTATTCGCTGCTTCAATCAAAACGTGGTATCTTGAAATCTTTGTCCAGAGTACTAACTGAGCCTGTTTCTTTACAGACCAAAGGTTTCTAGATCTTTGACCTTAAGCTGAAAGCAGAGTCAGAAGGCACTGGGAGGTTTCACTGTTTCTCCCAATACCCAGCCTAAGGTTTGCCTATGCTGATTTCACCCATCATTCCTTAGGCAAGTAATTATTTTCTTATACAAAATGGAATTTAAAGCAGTGCTTCCAACTTCAGTGTGCATTTATTATAGTCAATCCCCTCCTGTAAACACTCAGGCTTACAGATAGTCCCACTGAGCCGAGCAGAGTTATTTCAGGACATAAGCACTAGTAGAATTGGGAAAACTAGCAAACAGCTGCAACACAACCGGAAAAAACAAGGAGTGTACCACAACCAGAATGTTCTTCCCAAATGTAGCACAACTCTGCTTACATCACCTCCAGCATTATTAATTATTCACTATGGCCAAGAAAACGGTCCTAAATATAATTTTCTGTTTGTCTTTTCATTACCTGAGTCTCTCTGCAAAATACTACTTTACCCACACTGCTAAACCATTTTCCAAATTACTGCAGAACCAAGCAAGCCAGGCATGTTTAGATTCTGTATATCAGACAAATGCATTCAATGACGAAATACCATGCTAGCAATAGTATTCATCCTTTAGAAGCACATAATTAAAATAGTTTCTGTAGACTTGGAAAGAGGATCAGAAGGACAGCTCCAGGCAAAGAGGCTTTGAAACATTCCTTCAATATTGGACACTAGTCCTACATGTGATAAACCAGAGCCCAAATAAAAATCTCACCTAAGAAAATACCCCACAAGATCAGTACTTGTATGGTGCTAATAACGAATATTATAGCTGTACCTAGAACTCCGTCCAGAGCTACAGCACTATGCTATACAAGCAAGTTTTAGGTCTTTGAGCCTATTTATGCACACAATTACATCTTCACTACTTGAAATATAATGCCTACCAGAAGCATTAGCAACCCTAATATCAATTGCCAATTTCATATGCTTCATAGGATCAGTCTACTTCCAGTAGATACTTGAAGGGATCTTTTAGATAAACAGTTGGATAGGCAACCAAAACCAATGCCATAGGCAAAGCAAAAGATGGCTTCACAGGATAGATCATTTTAATGCAGATTTAACAGGGAAAGCAGTTATTTAATCATAATGAAAATGTAACACAGAACCAAATCTGAAGAGGAAAAAAAAAGTAACAGGGTTCATGGTCACGACGATTCTGGATTTTGGTCTTTTTGCACAGAAAAAATAAGCCCCTCCAGATAGTTTCTTAATTATTCCCTCTTAGACAGATTATCTTCAGTCAACCATTCTCCCCAGCTATGCCCAAGGATGACAGAAAACATGCATAAAGAAGGTCAAGCTTCTTAGTTTGAGAGCCGTATATATGTGTGTATATATATAATTTCTGAATTTGAACAGCACTGAACGAAATTCAAATTATTCTTCTTAAGTCTTGCAATAGGCCTCTCTTTTGCACATAAACAGCTTGCTATTTTTGGAAAGTACAGAGGAATTTAAACTACAAATTCATCAACTTCTAAAAATCAGCATTCAATTAAATTGAAACATAACAAGGTTAAGATGTTAAAAAAAACCAAACCAACAACCCCCAAAACAAACAAGTTGGGTCAAATAACAGTAATCTCAGACATTATTTCCAAACAATGCTAAAGCTGAATTCCAAAGAAGCATGCAATATCCACACTGTCTAGAAAGACAGGCTACATAGTTTTAAGATCTTTCTGGTACATTACAATATGTTAATTCATTATGCATCAGCTACTATGTGGCTATTTAAAAATACCATTTCAGAAGAACAATCTCTAAATTCTGAGAAATTTTTCAGGGTGCTGGAAACATGCAGGCTGTAAAACCCAACACTATCCTTGAAGTTCACTGCCATCTAAAAACAATTCCAGATAACCTGCATTTCCTACACAAGATTTTAATTAGGGATTCTGGTATATCTCTAGATACCTTGATAATGTATCTTTATATATATATAATGTAGTGGGAAACATTACCTTGCTAGTACATCACAAACGTGACTCCCTGTATGTTCAGTTTATGTCAGTGTTAAACAAATTGTCTACAAATCAATACATAAAATCAGGTATTTCTTAAAATAAAATGCAATTTTAAACAAAAAAGGTGCAGCAGTAACAAAAGTTTAGAGCTGAAACACATAAATGGCTGCTCTAATATACTACTTAGCACATTAGTCAAGTATTTAAAAAAAAGAGAAGAAAAACCAAGAAAAAACCCATATGAAACCAAAATCTACCACCTTTTCAGAGATCTCAAGGAAGTAATTCTAGCATTCAATTTTAGATTGCAACTGAAGAGAGCTCATTTAACACTTACTACTTCTAAGTAGGTTTATTTCTGACACATTCCATTAGTTACTACAGAAAGTCAATGGTACTAAAATCACAAGAGTTAACCTGACCCATTGCTTCCCCAAGACTCAAAGCTATCATTTTTCTTGTTTACCCAAGGCAGCTTTGCAAAAGCAAGATGACCTGATGCCCAGACACATTATCTTTGAGAAAGTGAAGAACTAACTCTACCAAGTAGATACAAAGTTATGTTCCACTGCTTTACCTGTTCAGCATTCTTTAGCCACTTAGCTAGCCACTGGAGTAGTATTCTCACAGATTATACACTGTAATTAAACTTATATCATCACATATATTAACTGCTCTTACAGCTTAGTCTTAAAAAGTCCTCAAAACCATTCCGGCCACCAAACCACACAGTCTTTCTCAATCAAACACCACCAAATGCCTCTATGGTCCTTCTAAGTAACAGGGTAACTTCCACACATCAATCTACCTACAAATACACCTCACTTGATTAAACAAACATCTTAGTCCTGAATTTTCCCCTTCTTGAATTCCCACAAGGCAAATTCCTTGGTACAGTCAGCCCATGGAAGTAAAGTATGCACACGCGGTGCTAGAAAAGGCACATCATCACACTTCCTCTCTCAATATTGTCTCCCGTTCCGAACTTAAGTTTCTTGCAGCCAATTTTTATATTCATAACTCCAAATATTTTCAAGCACGTGCCATACACATGAACATTTGTAACAGCTGTCATATTTTGCAAGGTAATCAAAATAGCTAGCCCAGACAGAGGGAGTCTGAAGGGTTTAGAAGACAGTCTTCTAAACAGCTCGGATCTGCAACAGCTTTGATTGACAATACAGGAGAAGGAAAGGGGAGAAAGATGAGAAGTTATGTCCTGGATGTCCAGCTGTTTTCAGGTTTTAACTGCTTGCTGTCTGCAACTATTCCTTTAGGACCTAGGAGCTTCTAGCAAACCACATCAAGCAAGTAAACTTCTTTTGCTGAAGTAACAATCAAACTAAACTAGAAGAGTCCAATTTTTTGAAAGATCTCGGTAAATCTCAATACAGAAACCAACAGAAATATTCGGATCAGCTTGTTCTGCATCATGTATCAAGGGCATCCAGAGGTCCAGGTTTACAGGTACGAAGCATGGTGCAACTCTGAACTGCACAAGATGATAGTACCTGATCCATCAGCTACTGCCAGAAGAAGGGGATTCACTCCTCTTCCAGGTAAGCCTCACATCTGCACAAAACCACAGCTTACTCTTGCCACACGCACCCATTGCATCATACTACAATTACTAAAGCACCTCTGATCTCAATCAAAACATTAATAGAGCACCATCTACTCTAATTTTTCATCTCTCAGACACGTGAAAAAGTGATTTGGACAGGGTAATTAAAAAGACTGAATGTATGCACACATGATTCTTTTCATAATTTCTTATCAGCAACTAAATGCATACTAGATTGGGAATACATGATAGAAACTTTGTTATTAA